ACCCACTTGTTTTGTTCACCCCAAACTGTTTTGTTTCACCCACTTGTTTTGTTTCACCCACTTGTTTTGTTTTCACCCACTTGTTTTGTTTCACCCACTTGTTTTGTTTCACCCACTTGTTTTGTTTCACCCCACTTGTTTAGTTTCACCCACTTGTTTTGTTTCACCCACTTGTTTTGTTTCACCCACTTGTTCTGTTTCCACCCACTTGTTCTGTTTCACCCACTTGTTTTGTTTCACCCACTTGTTTTGTTTCACCCACTTGTGTTTCACGCACTTGTTTTGTTTCACCCACTTGTTTTGTTTCACCCACTTGTTTTGTTTCACCCACTTGTTTTGTTTCACCCACTTGTGTTTCACGCACTTGTTTTGTTTCACCCACTTGTTTTTGTTTCACCCACTTGTTTTGTTTCACCCACTTGTTTTGTTTCACCCACTTGTTTTGTTTCACCCACTTGTTTTGTTTCACCCACTTGTTTTGTTTCACCCACTTGTTTTGTTTCACCCACTTGTTTTGTTTCACCCACTTGTTTTGTTTCACCCACTTGTTCTGTTTCACCCACTTGTTTGTTTCCCCACTGTTTTGTTCACCCACTTGTTTTGTTTTCACCACTTGTTTTGTTTCACCCACTTGTTGTTTCACCCACCTTTGTTTTGTTTCACCCACTTGTTTTGTTTCACCCACTTGTTTTGTTTCACCCACTTGTTTTGTTTCACCCACTTGTTTTGTTTCACCCACTTGTTTTGTTTCACCCACTTGTTTTGTTTCACCCACTTGTTTTGTTTCACCCACTTGTTTTGTTTCACCCACTTGTTTTGTTTCACCCACTTGTTTTGTTTCACCCACTTGTTTTGTTTCACCCACTTGTTTTGTTTCACCCACTTGTTTTGTTTCACCCACTTGTTTTGTTTCACCCACTTGTTTTGTTTCACCCACTTGTTTTGTTTCACCCACTTGTTTTGTTTCACCCACTTGTTTTGTTTCACCCACTTGTTTTGTTTCACCCACTTGTTTTGTTTCACCCACTTGTTTTGTTTCACCCACTTGTTGTTGTTTCACCCACTTGTTTTGTTTCACCCACTTGTTTTGTTTCACCCACTTGTTCTGTTTCACCCACTTGTTTTGTTTCACCCACTTGTTTTGTTTCACCCACTTGTTTTGTTTCACCCACTTGTTTTGTTTCACCCAACTTGTTTTGTTTCACCCACTTGTTTTGTTTCACCCACTTGTTTTGTTTCCACCCACTTGTTTGTTTCACCCACTTGTTTTTTGTTTCACCCACTTGTTTTGTTTCACCCACTTGTTCTGTTTCACCACTTGTTTTGTTTCACCCACTTGTTTTGTTTCCACCCACTTGTTTGTTTCACCCACTGTTTTGTTTCACCCACTTGTTTTGTTTCACCCCACTTGTTTTGTTTCACCCACTTGTTTTGTTTCACCCACTTGTTTTGTTTCACCCACTTGTTTTGTTTCACCCACTTGTTTTGTTTCACCCACTTGTTTTGTTTCACCACTTGTTTTGTTCACCACTTGTTTTGTTTCACCCACTTGTTTTGTTTCACCCACTTGTTTTGTTTCACCCACTTGTTTTGTTTACATTGTTGTGTTTCACCCACTTGTTTGTTTCCCCACTTGTTTTGTTTCACCCACTTGTTTTGTTTCACCCACTTGTTTTGTTTCACCCACTTGTTTTGTTTCACCCACTTGTTTTGTTTCACCCACTTGTTTTGTTTCACCCACTTGTTTTCACCCACTTGTTTTGTTTCACCCACTTGTTTTGTTTCACCCACTTGTTTTGTTTCACCCACTTGTTTTGTTTCACCCACTTGTTTTGTTTCACCCACTTGTTTTGTTTCACCCACTTGTTTTGTTTCACCCACTTGTTTTGTTTCACCCACTTGTTTTGTTTCACCCACTTGTTTTGTTTCACCCACTTGTTTTGTTTCACCCACTTGTTTTGTTTCACCCACTTGTTTTGTTTCACCCACTTGTTTTGTTTCACCCACTTGTTTTGTTTCACCCACTTGTTTTGTTTCACCCACTTGTTTTGTTTCACCCACTTGTTTTGTTTCACCCACTTGTTTTGTTTCACCCACTTGTTTTGTTTCACCCACTTGTTTTGTTTCACCCACTTGTTCTGTTTCACCCACTTGTTTTGTTTCACCCACTTGTTTTGTTTCACCCACTTGTTTTGTTTCACCCACTTGTTTTGTTTCACCCACTTGTTTTGTTTCACCCACTTGTTTTGTTTCACCCACTTGTTTTGTTTCACCCACTTGTTTTGTTTCACCCACTTGTTTTGTTTCACCCACTTGTTTTGTTTCACCCACTTGTTTTGTTTCACCCACTTGTTTTGTTTCACCCACTTGTTTTGTTTCACCCACTTGTTGTGTTTCACCCACTTGTTTTGTTTCACCCACTTGTTTTGTTTCACCCACTTGTTTTGTTTCACCCACTTGTTTTGTTTCACCCACTTGTTTTGTTTCACCCACTTGTTTTGTTTCACCCACTTGTTTTGTTTCACCCACTTGTTTTGTTTCACCCACTTGTTTTGTTTCACCCACTTGTTTTGTTTCACCCACTTGTTTTGTTTCACCCACTTGTTCTGTTTCACCCACTTGTTTTGTTTCACCCACTTGTTTTGTTTCACCCACTTGTTTGTTTCACCCACTTGTTTTGTTTCACCACTTGTTTTGTTTCACCCACTTGTTTTGTTTCACCCACTTGTTTGTTTCACCCACTTGTTTTGTTTCACACCACGTTGTTTGTTTCACCCACTTGTTTTTGTTTCACCCACTTGTTTTGTTTCACCCACTTGTTTGTTTCACCCACTTGTTTTGTTTCACCCACTTGTTTGTTTCACCCACTTGTTCTGTTTCACCCAGCTTGTTCTGTTTCCACCCCACTTGTTGTTTCACCCACTTGTTCTGTTTCAACCCACTTGTTCTGTTTCACCCACTTGTTTTGTTTCACCACTTGTTGTGTTTCACCCACTTGTTGTGTTTCACCCACTTGTTTTGTTTCACCCACTTGTTGTGTTTCACCCACTTGTTTTGTTTCACCCACTTGTTTTGTTTCACCCACTTGTTTTGTTTCACCCACTTGTTTTGTTTCACCCACTTGTTGTGTTTCACCCACTTGTTTTGTTTCACCCACTTGTTTTGTTTCACCCACTTGTTTTGTTTCACCCACTTGTTTTGTTTCACCCACTTGTTTTGTTTCACCCACTTGTTTTGTTTCACCCACTTGTTTTGTTTCACCCACTTGTTTTGTTTCACCCACTTGTTTTGTTTCACCCACTTGTTTTGTTTCACCCACTTGTTTTGTTTCACCCACTTGTTTTGTTTCACCCACTTGTTTTGTTTCACCCACTTGTTTTGTTTCACCCACTTGTTTTGTTTCACCCACTTGTTTAGTTTCACCCACTTGTTTTGTTTCACCCACTTGTTTTGTTTCACCCACTTGTTCTGTTTCACCCACTTGTTCTGTTTCACCCACTTGTTTTGTTTCACCCACTTGTTTTGTTTCACCCACTTGTGTTTCACGCACTTGTTTTGTTTCACCCACTTGTTTTGTTTCACCCACTTGTTTTGTTTCACCCACTTGTTTTGTTTCACCCACTTGTTTTGTTTCACCCACTTGTTTTGTTTCACCCACTTGTTTTGTTTCACCCACTTGTTTTGTTTCACCCACTTTGTTTCCTTGTTTCAACCCACTTGTTTTGTTTCACCCACTTGTTTTGTTTCACCCACTTGTTTTGTTTCACCCCACTTGTTTTGTTTCACCCACTTGTTTTGTTTCACCCACTTGTTTTGTTTCACCCACTTGTTTTGTTTCACCCACTTGTTGTGTTTCACCCACTTGTTGTGTTTCACCCACTTGTTTTGTTTCACCCACTTGTTCTGTTTCACCCACTTGTTCTGTTTCACCCACTTGTTCTGTTTCACCCACTTGTTTTGTTTCACCCACTTGTTTTGTTTCACCCACTTGTTTTGTTTCACCCACTTGTTTTGTTTCACCCACTTGTTTTGTTTCACCCACTTGTTTTGTTTCACCCACTTGTTTCTGTTTCACCCACTTGTTCTGTTTCACCCACTTGTTCTGTTTTCACCCACTTGTTTTGTTTTCACCCACTTGTTTTGTTTCACCCACTTGTTTTGTTTCACCCACTTGTTTTGTTTTCACCCACTTGTTTTGTTTCACCCACTTGTTTTGTTTCACCCACTTGTTTTGTTTCACCCACTTGTTTTGTTTCACCCACTTGTTCTGTTTCACCCACTTGTTTTGTTTCACCCACTTGTTTTGTTTCACCCACTTGTTTTGTTTCACCCACTTGTTTTGTTTCACCCACTTGTTTTGTTTCACCCACTTGTTTTGTTTCACCCACTTGTTTTGTTTCACCCACTTGTTTTGTTTCACCCACTTGTTTTGTTTCACCCACCTTGTTTTGTTTCACCCACTGTTTTGTTTCACCCACTTGTTTTGTTTCACCCACTTGTTTTTGTTTCACCCACTTGTTGCGTTTCCACCCACATTGTTTTGTTTTCACCCACTTGTTTTGTTTCACCCACTTGTTTTGTTTCACCCACTTGTTTTGGTTTCACCCACTTGTTTTGTTTCACCCACTTGTTTTGTTTCACCCACTTGTTTTGTTTCACCCACTTGTTTTGTTTCACTACCCACTTGTTGTTTCACCCACTTGTTTTGTTTCACCCACTTGTTCTGTTTCACCCACTTTGTTCTGTTTCACCCACTTGTTTTGTTTCACCCACTTGTTTTGTTTCACCCACTGTTGTGTTTCACCCACTTGTTTTGTTTCACCCACTTGTTTTGTTTCACCCACTTGTTTTGTTTCACCCACTTGTTTTGTTTCACCCACTTGTTTTGTTTCACCCACTTGTTTTGTTTCACCCACTTGTTTTGTTTCACCCACTTGTTTTGTTTCACCCACTTGTTTTGTTTCACCCACATTCCTCCCCCCTCCCTCGCCTTGCTCCCTTCAGGCTGCCAAGTTGCTGACCCTCACTACCCTGTCCGCTGCCACGTCAGCATCAGTGCAAGCAGCCACATCAGTGTCATCAGCACCTGCCACGTCAGCATGCCACTCGTCGCTGACAAACGAACCAGCACTTGATGCCACGTCAGCAAGACAAGGGTTGAGAGAGCATGCAGAATGTGTTAATTCATGTGCATCTGCCACGTGCGATCCCGCTGAATCGTTATCTGCCGAACCTAAGTCTACTGGCTCCTCTTGTGCCGAGCCTCTTGCCGCTGACTTGTATGTTTCCGAGCCTCGCGGTGGGCCGGGCAGCAGCAGCAGCACAGTGCATGGAGAGGGGGAAGCAAGGGGCGGGGATGGGGGGAGCAGCAGCCAGGAGAGTAATAGTGGGAAGAGCAAGGGCAGAAGCGCGGAGGGGGGTGAGGAGGATGGGGTGCGTGAACATGCTCTGTCCACTGGCAGCAGGCACGGTCACTATTACGATCACCAGCATGCTTCTGCTGGCACTCCTCACTCCACCAATACGGTTGCCGTGAGCCCTGATGACGCTGCTGAGGACCCCCATGATGATTCTGTGAAGGGCGTCCATCCCCACCCTGCCGCTCACCCGGGAGGAGCCTGGCCATCGCCATCCCCTCCCCCCCCTGACTCAGATGCATCTGCCTCCCAGGCTCTCCTCTCTGCCTTGGCTGCTCTTGCCTCCAGTCGCAATTTCCGCGACCGACAAACGTACGTCTCTCTCCCATTCCCCTTCCTCCTCTCTACTCGGCTCCCTCCTATCCCCTCACTCCCCTCATCGTTGGCCCCCCTTGTTTCCCCTCGTCTCTTCTTTCCATCAATCTTGATCTCGATTTCTGGCTTTACCGTAGCGTTTGCATATGTTTATGTACACGTATGAACGTATACATATGTGCACCTGTCAAACCTATTCGCAGGTTCGGCATAGCCTGTACGGAGCTGCTGGACTGCATCGGGCCAACCCTGGCAGCGCCTCTCCTTGCCTCGCCAGCGCACTCCTTTCCTCCTGCCACCACACACACACACCCCTCCGCACACACGCCCTCCTGTCCTCCCGTAGCCCTCCCCTGTCAGCCCAACTCACATCTCCACGCATCTGCCTTCCTCCTCTCCACCGTCCTCCCTCTCCTCCTCCCGCTCGTCTATGTAAGCCTGCTCCCATCTCAAACCCATCCTGCCTTGCTCTTAGTGCTGAAATTGGTTCATCCTTCCTAGTGTTGGTTGGATGTCCCAAAAACGCCTGTGATCATTCCCGAGTTCTAGACCTCGATCTCACATTTTACTCACTCCTAATGGTTCGCAGGCCAATAGCGTTTTCACCCCCAACCAACCTTCCTAAGGTTGAACTTCTTGGCCCGCGGGTTTTAACTCTCTTTTCCCTTACACTGCCATTCTCTGTCTCTGCTCTTACGCTTCTTTACCTGCCTTTCATCTTCATTCTACCCCCCTCCTCTTGTGCCTACCCATCCCGCTGTCTCCCCACAGGACAACGTGCCAAATGTCAGAATACGAGTGGCCGAGGCCCTCTCTGCCGCTTGGCCCATTCTTGACACCCTCACTGTCCCAGACACGTCAGCAACAACTGGCACAGCGCCAGCAGCAGCAGCAGCAGCAATAGCACTCCCACACTTACCTGAACCAGCAGCAGCAGCAGCGATGAAATCAGATGAAGAGTCACATTTTGCATCAATGTCACAACCACCTTCTTTAGGGTCAGTGCTACTAGAGCACACGCGCCTCTCAGCATCACAGTCGCGGTTGGACGAGCTGCGTGCGTCAGTGGCGTCAGCCCTTGCCCTGCTGGAGGGCGACGAGGATGCTGACGTGGCATGGACCGCTCTGGCTAGAGTGCCGTCTCCCCACGGGGATGGGCGTGGAGATGCCATGGGCTCGTATTCGGTTGCCCAGCTCCATCACCATCACAATCATGCAGCCTGAACACCAAGTGACACACCATCATCAGGTTTGAATCTATTCGTACCATAAGCGCCTGTGTAGTATACCGCAGGTCCTGAACATACCTAGTCCAAAACCTTATAACACACAGGTTGGTTGGTGCTGCTGGCATTGCCAAGACTCTTGAGTCAACCGTTAAAAACAAGCAAACAAACATTTATTATCTGGTCTGTCAAAGCCCAACCATCACATTGTGCCGAACGTCACAGTTCTTGAATGGCATCTGTTGGCATCTAACTGAAGTGTGTTCATGAGGCAAAAGTATTTCGAGATCATGCAAGTTCGTTCGCATTTGTAGCAGTGCGCAGATAGCGGGTGCTTTTTTTAACGTTTTGTGAACACCCAATCAATTTTATTTAAGAATTAAAAGAAGCACCCTAGGGCCTAGGGTGATTTATTCAGTGGAGTTGAAGTGGGAGACTGGATTATTTTGAGGTGCCTCAAAGACAGAGTTGACTATGGCTGCCATAGCTTGAGGGTGCAATCTTCGCTGTAGGTTGCAATGAGGTTGCGATGGGGATGGTGGGTGATGCCTATGACATCCTTGTCATGCACCTGCTCACATGCGCACACATGATGGACGCATGCACACACATGCACATGCACATACATGCCCACACATGGGTACGAAGTGAAGTTAGTGATAAGTCTCAACAAGAAATTCATCATATGAATGTGCAGAGGTGAATGCTTTTCGATGCTTTGGGTGCCACGCAATGCTTTGCACACACAAAGAGAGAACCACACCTTCATGAGATGCTCTAGCTTGCCACTCTGAAAGCTGAAGCAGTACATGTTGCTGCAGGGGGGAGAAGAGAGCATGAGAGGGGAGAAAAGGGGAGAGAAGGTGAAATAGGACAGTGAGGGAGTGACAACGGCGGGGGGGATTAAGTGCAGAGTGGGAGTGCTGTGCAGAGCCGGAGTGCAGTGCAGAAGGGAGAATGGGTGAGGAGAGTGGAGTGATAAAGGATTGGTGCGAGTTGCCGTGTCCACCACACCCCAGCAAGCAGTCACTGTGCTCCTCGGTGGCTTGTCATTGCCTGATGAACCTCAGCCAGCACTCACACACTCTCGCCCATGCAGTGAAAGCGTTATGCGAATCCGGTTCGACTCAAGCACCGCCACATCCTCGCCCATACAGTAGAGATACACACTAGCCTTGCGAGGGAGGCACGGGGAGAGGCAGCAGTGCACACACCCACCAGCCAGTGCACTCCACACCATGGGCACCGGTACACATTGGTACACATGGGTGCACATTGGTACACATGGGTGCACATTGGTACACATAGGTGCACATTGGTACACATGGGTGCACATTGGTACACATGGGTGCACATTGGTACACATAGGTGCACATTGGTACACATGGGTGCACATTGGTACACATGGGTGCACATTGGTACACATAGGTGCACATTGGTACACATGGGTGCACATTGGTACACATTGGTACACATTGGTACACATTGGTACACATTGGTACACATTGGTACACATTGGTACACATTGGTACACATTGGTACACATTGGTACACATTGGTACACATTGGTGCACATTGGTGCACATTGGTACACATTGGTGCACATTGGTACACATTGGTACACATTGGTACACATTGGTACACATTGGTACACATTGGTGCACATTGGTGCACATTGGTACACATTGGTGCACATTGGTACACATTGGTACACATTGGTGCACATTGGTGCACATTGGTACACATTGGTACACATTGGTGCACATTGGTGCACATTGGTGCACATTGGTACACATTGGTACACATTGGTGCACATTGGTACACATTGGTGCACATTGGTACACATTGGTGCACATTGGTACACATTGGTGCACACACCATGCCACCACTCACGCATCCTTGCCCATGCAATAGATCCAGTCGCCCTTGGGGGACAGGCACGGGGGGGAGCACTCCACCGCCCTGCCCCTTTCCCCTTCCCCGGTGTTTCTTTTCTTTCTTTCTTCCAGCACTCGTGTGCAGTCAAATCAAGTCAGCACTCGTGTGCAGTCAAATCAAGTCAGCACTCGTGTGCAGTCAACTCAAGTCAGCACTCGTGTGCAGTCAAATCAAGTCAGCACTCGTGTGCAGTCAAATCAAGTCAGCACTCGTGTGCAGTCAAATCAAGTCAGCACTCGTGTGCAGTCAAATCAAGTCAGCACTCGTGTGCAGTCAAATCAAATCAAGTCAGCACTCGTGTGCAGTCAACTCAAGTCAGCACTCGTGTGCAGTCAAATCAAGTCAGCACTCGTGTGCAGTCAAATCAAGTCAGCACTCGTGTGCAGTCAAATCAAGTCAGCACTCGTGTGCAGTCAAATCAAGTCAGCACTCGTGTGCAGTCAAATCAAGTCAGCACTCGTGTGCAGTCAAATCAAGTCAGCACTCGTGTGCAGTCAAATCAAGTCAGCACTCGTGTGCAGTCAAATCAAGTCAGCACTCGTGTGCAGTCAAATCAAGTCAGCACTCGTGTGCAGTCAAATCAAGTCAGCACTCGTGTGCAGTCAAATCAAGTCAGCACTCGTGTGCAGTCAAATCAAGTCAGCACTCGTGTGCAGTCAAATCAAGTCAGCACTCGTGTGCAGTCAAATCAAGTCAGCACTCGTGTGCAGTCAAATCAAGTCAGCACTCGTGTGCAGTCAAATCAAGTCAGCACTCGTGTGCAGTCAAATCAAGTCAGCACTCGTGTGCAGTCAAATCAAGTCAGCACTCGTGTGCAGTCAAATCAAGTCAGCACTCGTGTGCAGTCAAATCAAGTCAGCACTCGTGTGCAGTCAAATCAAGTCAGCACTCGTGTGCAGTCAAATCAAGTCAGCACTCGTGTGCAGTCAAATCAAGTCAGCACTCGTGTGCAGTCAAATCAAGTCAGCACTCGTGTGCAGTCAAATCAAGTCAGCACTCGTGTGCAGTCAAATCAAGTCAGCACTCGTGTGCAGTCAAATCAAGTCAGCACTCGTGTGCAGTCAAATCAAGTCAGCACTCGTGTGCAGTCAAATCAAGTCAGCACTCGTGTGCAGTCAAATCAAGTCAGCACTCGTGTGCAGTCAAATCAAGTCAGCACTCGTGTGCAGTCAAATCAAGTCAGCACTCGTGTGCAGTCAAATCAAGTCAGCACTCGTGTGCAGTCAAATCAAGTCAGCACTCGTGTGCAGTCAAATCAAGTCAGCACTCGTGTGCAGTCAAATCAAGTCAGCACTCGTGTGCAGTCAAATCAAGTCAGCACTCGTGTGCAGTCAAATCAAGTCAGCACTCGTGTGCAGTCAAATCAAGTCAGCACTCGTGTGCAGTCAAATCAAGTCAGCACTCGTGTGCAGTCAAATCAAGTCAGCACTCGTGTGCAGTCAAATCAAGTCAGCACTCGTGTGCAGTCAAATCAAGTCAGCACTCGTGTGCAGTCAAATCAAGTCAGCACTCGTGTGCAGTCAAATCAAGTCAGCACTCGTGTGCAGTCAAATCAAGTCAGCACTCGTGTGCAGTCAAATCAAGTCAGCACTCGTGTGCAGTCAAATCAAGTCAGCACTCGTGTGCAGTCAAATCAAGTCAGCACTCGTGTGCAGTCAAATCAAGTCAGCACTCGTGTGCAGTCAAATCAAGTCAGCACTCGTGTGCAGTCAAATCAAGTCAGCACTCGTGTGCAGTCAAATCAAGTCAGCACTCGTGTGCAGTCAAATCAAGTCAGCACTCGTGTGCAGTCAAATCAAGTCAGCACTCGTGTGCAGTCAAATCAAGTCAGCACTCGTGTGCAGTCAAATCAAGTCAGCACTCGTGTGCAGTCAAATCAAGTCAGCACTCGTGTGCAGTCAAATCAAGTCAGCACTCGTGTGCAGTCAAATCAAGTCAGCACTCGTGTGCAGTCAAATCAAGTCAGCACTCGTGTGCAGTCAAATCAAGTCAGCACTCGTGTGCAGTCAAATCAAGTCAGCACTCGTGTGCAGTCAAATCAAGTCAGCACTCGTGTGCAGTCAAATCAAGTCAGCACTCGTGTGCAGTGCAGTGACCAAGGCACTCACGCATCCTCGCCCATGCAGTAGATCCAGTCGCCCTTGGGGGACAGGCACGCCGCCACAAAGTCACCGCCCTCCCTCTTGCCTGATGTGAAGCTCCGCACCACCTGATGAGAGCATGGATGCATGGATGCATGGGTGCATGGGTGCATGGTACATGGGTACATGGGTGCATGGGAGGTAGCATGGGAGGTATGGGGTAGGATGGGAGGTATGGGGTAGGATGGGAGGTATGGGGTAGCATGGGAGGTATGGGGTAGCATGGGAGGTATGGGGTAGCATGGGAGGTATGGGGTAGCATGGGAGGTATGGGGTAGCGTGGGAGGTATAGGGTAGCATGGGAGGTACGGGGTAGCATGGGAGGTATGGGGTAGCATGGGGAATAACCTTCTGTAACATGGCAGAGAATCAGAATCACCGCCCTCCCTCTTGCCTGATGTGAAAATACGAACCACATGATACATGCATGGGTGCATAGCGTAGGTGAGTGGGTGCAGTGGCGCCCGGGTGGATGGATTAATACAGGCCGATCGGTGCATGGCTGCATGGGTACGGGTGCATGGGTACGGGTGCATGGGTACGGGTGCATGGGTACGGGTGCATGAGGCACAGCATCTGGTCACATGGCCAACAAGCTAAGCCACCGTCGCCCTCCCTCTTTTCCCTAGTGTGAAGCTGTGTATCACCTTGCACTGGCCGCACTGTGTATCACCTTGCACTGGCCGCACTGTGTATCACCTTGCACTGGCCGCACCCAAATCACACCGACCCATTCCCCACACCCACCGCACCCACCTCCCCCACATTCCACCTCCCTCACACCCACCTGGCCCTGCAGCGTCATGAGAAACACGGAGGAGGAGCGGTTGCACACAAACACATGGTCCACGTTGCGGGGAGAGAGGAGCACCG